ACAAGGAACTACAATGGAGACTGTAGTGACTATAGCAGGTTAAACGAGGTTCGACAGTCGCCGGCTCCAGAGGTGGGAGAGGAAGTTCAAATGCCCACTGAGCACTTCGGCTCTTTGGCTCTTGGCCCCCACGCTCGACTTGGAACTGCTGAACTAGGTTCCAGTGGGAGAGAATCAGGTTACCCTGAACCCCAAACCAGCCTAAACCGTCTAAACCCTAGACCCTAGACTGTATAAACCGTATAAACCCTCAATCTTGCCAAGAAGATCGTGGAAGCCTGAGGGAGCACGGGAACACGATGCATATCATCACAATCCTGGGCCAAGGCACTCAGCTCGAAACCATGCTCGCAGCACGCTTCGCGCCAGGTATGTCGTGCCCTTCTTACATTTGACTCCGGATTACATTCCCAAGCTGAAGAAGGAAAACAAGGCACGGGAGAGTTTGCAGCCTCGGGGACCGCTAGCCTAGACTAGGAGGGGCGGGCCTAGGCTCGAAGTAGCTACATATTTGCAAGTGTTCTTAGTATCCTGGGGTATCAAGGAAGCCACGATAGCTTTCCCTAGAACCGCCGGGGCAGATGGATCTCATAGCCAGACTGAACCATGCCACCCGGCTGAGGCCATGTACAATTCTTTCAAGCAATGGTCCGATCCCGAGCTTTGCTATGAAGCTACGCATGGGTTTGGTTCAGAGTCTTGGGGTTGAGGACCTTCGTGTTCATGGATTGAGTTCGGATTGCAGCCAGCAACAGACCAGGAGGAGGCCGTTCCAGTGTTTGGGGGTTTCGGGTTTTATATAGGGGCCTAAATAATTACCCATACTAGTTCGGGGTTCCTTATCCAAAATATAGTTATAGCCTAGTAGTATACCCCAAAACCCTGTTTCAATGAATATGCCCCCTATATATGCAAAGCTAGGGTTTCGGGTACATTATATATTTTTTCATATGAACGATTACTTCATATAGTGTGACACCTCACATGTTCTAGTTTCTTGCTGAATGTATACTTTTTAGGGCACCCAACAAGAGTTGAAGCCTGCGGACGCCGAGGTGGGAGAGCAACGGCCGCAAGCAGCGTTCTTACTTGGGGGGTTCATGGGTAGCTATAAGTGGGGTTATAGGGTTCCTTTAAGGGTTAAGGGTTTAGGGTTTAGGGTAGGGTTCATGGGTAGTTATAAGTGGGGTTATAAGTCCCCTAATATGGGTTACAACTATAGTTACCCTACTTAGAACCCTACTTATAACGACCCATGAACCTCCAAGTATTGGGCGTGGTTTCAAGTGGCTCTCGGGAGTGCGCTGTTGCTTGCGGAGTTGTGGCTTATGCGTATAAAGAACCCAAAAATCTACTGTAAAGAACTGTTGCTAGTGGAAGTGGGTTAGGTTCTCAGTTTGAGGCTTCCGGTTAAGGCTTTGCACCTGGGGTTCGGCTTCGCTCGTGCAGCAACTCGCACCGTGGGTAACAACGGCCTGGGCATGTCTTCATGGTCTGAGAACCTTGCCAGTGGCTCCAAGAAGTGGTCTTAATCCTACAGTCGTATCTCTCTACCACCTTTGCCTCCCTGCTTTTCTAGAAATCAGGAGGGTATAGCTTCGGATGCTTGGGTGTAGGAGTTAGGCTACTGCAAGTTCTAGCTGAGAGAATACCCGACACCGTGGAGTCTAAACTGATGACCTCCCATCAACACAGGGCTGACGGCCGCCGTAAGCCACTCCAAAGCCATTTAAATTTAAGCTGTTGGCATGTGATAGTCGAACATGGGGCTTCAAGCTCCTTGATGTCGGCCGAAGCTCTATATAAGCCTTACTGATCCACATCCCCCTGCTTAGCTTGGCACCTCCTTATTTTTGACTCGTACGACCCTTCCGTGTGTGGGACGACGGAGGCCCGCCCCTCCACCGGCCATCGAGTTCGATGGGAAGGACCAGGGCACACATCCTCTCACGGGGTCCGGGTGTTTTCGCGGTGTACAGGTCCAGCGCGGTGAAAAGAATACAAGAGCTGAAGCAATTTTCGAGCCTTGCCTGGCGATGCAACGCGCTGTGTCCGGAGCGTCAAGTGAACAGGCGACACACCACCGCTAGTGGTTATTTGGGATTTGGGGACGTCGATTGATGGCATAGTGCTGCGAGAATACCTTACAGAGGTCAAATAGGGGCCTAAATAATTACCCATGCTATTTTTTGTTTTTTTTAGGAGAGATCCTTATTACAAGTATACTATAATTGGCCCCAAAGCCCTATTCTAATTGTTAAGGCCCCTACATTACGTTTTTGTTTGTGGATGTTCCGATTCCGGACGAGGACACATGGAATTGGGAAGTGCTGAAGGCGACCTGCGAGCTCAACATGCGCCCTTTTCAGTCTAGCATTTAGGCAAGTGACGGTTTATCCCTAAACCCTAAACCCCTAAACCCTAAACCCTATAGATAGGCAACTTAAGGTGTTTCCCCAAAACCCTAAACCCTAAACCCTACACCCTAAACCCTATAGGGTTTAGCTTGTGTCTTGAGGTTTCACGGCCCTGTTGACATGAAGCGTCTTGACGCGACGGGTGGTTTCATGCAGGACGTGTGTCGTGGTGGAGCACTATAGGTGCCTGAATAATTACCTATACGATTTGGGGGGTTCCTTAATATAATTATAATATAATATACCCCCAAACCCTATTCTAATTATTCAGGCCCCTACATTAGTGTGACATTAGTGTGTCTAAATTGCGCCACCCCTGGTAGAGATTCGCGAGAGCGACATCGGAGCAGCATCGACAGCACTGCCTTGGTAATTCTAAACTGAGCCACATTATCCCACGGCCTTGCCCTAAACCCTAAACCCTAAACCCAAACCCTAAACCCTAAACCGTTCTGAAAACCGCAGGTGGCCTTCCCACCAGACCGCGTGCCGGAGGGCTGGGACATGTTCCTCCAAGCTGCCGCGCCCTCGAATTTGTTAGGGTTTACCTTAAGAACCCAAAACCCACTTTTTTGTAGGTTCTTATTATAGACCCTAATATGGGGTTTATAGGGACCCTACAAAAAAGTAGGTTTTGGGTTCTTCAGGTAGGGTTTAGGGTTTGCGGCTCCTGAGCACCGGGAACTCGGGCACGAGGGGTGTCGCAAAATGGGGAATCATCTTGTGTAGTTTACTAGTCATACAGAAATATATTCCATAGTCTTCCTACAATTGAGTCAGTTGGGTCAGGGATTGAGTTACTGGCTGTAGGGTTGAGCTGGGATCAGCCTAGGATTCGGAACCCCGTAGACCCGACACTACTTGAAGGTTATATGTGGGGTTATAAGTCCCCTAATGTGGGGTATAATTATAATTACCCTGCTTATAACTGCCCATGAACCTCCAA